CATTTGATAAAATTTAGATATACCATTTGATAAAATTTGATAAAATTTGATATACCATTTGATAAAATTTGATAAAATTTGATATACCATTTGATAAAATTTGATAAAATTTGATATACCATTTGATAAAATTTGATAAAATTTGATATACCATTTGATAAAATTTAATAAAATTTGATATACCATTTGATAAAATTTGATAAAATTTGATATACCATTTGATAAAATTTAATAAAATTTGATATACCATTTGATAAAATTTGATGCACCATTTGATAGAACTTGATATACCATTTGATAAAATTTAATAAAATTTGATATACCATTTGATAGAATTTGATATACCATTTGATAAAATTTGATATACCATTCGTTAGAATTTGATATACAATTTGATAGAATTATTACAGATTTCTTTCCAGCACGTGGTGACCGACATGCAACAATTTTTCAACACGACAAACGTGAGTCTGAGACAACCAATAAAAGCTTGCTTCGTTCTGATAACTGCCTTCGTCCTCGGCAGTGTGCTTTATGTCATCGTGCCGTTCTTCGTTGAGAAACAAATGACTCCGCTGACTACGGTGTACTTTACGCTGCCTACAGACGAGCAGTGGGGTCGAAATCTCACTTTTATTTTGAATATCGTTAACATTGCGAACGCTTCCTCGTTTCTGTTCCTTGACATGCTGGTGATATTTATAATGTGGCATGTGGCTTGTAAGTTTAGTCTGCTGGGGAGGAGATTCTCGATTTGTGGGGAAGGGAGGATGAAGTTGTGGATCAAGCAACATCAAGATACTCTCAGGTATGAAGTTGTAAATCAAACAATATCAGGATACTCTTAGTTTCTTGTTTAAAATAAAATGTTAAATTGCAATTTTGGAATTTTTGTTTAGGTACGCGAATGAAATCAATTCTATTATAGCCATCCTTGTGGTGAAGTCCACAATTGCTGTCGCGCTCAATATGATCATATGTGGTCTCGTAATCGTACGTGTAAGTACATACTGAATTTTAAACAGTGGCATAAAGACAGTAATCAGATCGTTATGTGTTATACTAATTCTGATGTGATATCACAATTGCGAGTCCACATACTTCCCTAATATTTCACCTTTCCAGAGCAAGAATTTCATAGAACTGATCAAATTCTTCACACTCACAATATTTTCCGTGTTGAGGTTCGTTATCTGCAGCTGGGTGGCCGACACGATGAGCGAGAACGTAAGTTGCGATACCGAAAGTTCAACAGAAAACAGAAGTACTTTTGCAATTTTCTAAACAGGCTAACGGCATCGCCTGGAAGATATACGATTCCCCATGGACCTACAGCAGCCCAAGAATACGTAGAATGGCTCTGTTGATTATAGCGAGGTGTCAGAAACCCGTGGCAATTCACGCGACTGGATTTTTATCATCGTGGAATTTGAAATTTTGTGCTCAGGTGGGTCACAAAATTTGGTTTGGTCAGTGATTAAAAACGAAACACGCGCTATATTTTCATGCGTTGTGTCGTCACGCGCCCTAATTCCACGCGTTGTGTCGCCACGCGCCATATTTCCACGCGTTGTATCGCCACGCGCCATATTTCCACGCGTTACATATCTCCACGCGCCATATTTCCACGCGTTGTGTCGCCACGCGCCCTAATTCCACGCGATGTGTCGCCACGCGCCATATTTCCACGCGTTGTGTCATCACGCGCCCTAATTCCACGCGTTGTGTCGCCACGCGCCATATTTCCACGCGTTGTATATCTTCACGCGCCATATTTCCACGCGTTGTATATCTTCACGCGCCATATTTCCACGCGTTGTATATCTTCACGCGCCATATTTCCACGCGTTGTATATCTTCACGCGCCATATTTCCACGCGTTGTATATCTTCACGCGCCATATTTCCACGCGTTGTGTGTCGCCACGCGCCATATTTCCACGCGTTGTATATCTTCACGCGCCATATTTCCACGCGTTGTGTCATCACGCGCCCTAATTCCACGCGTTGTATCGCCACGCGCCACATTTCCACGCGTTGTATATCTCCACGCGTCATATTTCCACGCGTTATGTCGCCACGCGCTATATTTCCGTGCGTTGTGTCGTCCCGCGCCGTATTTCCATGCGTTATGATATCACGCGCCATATTTCCACGCATTGTGTCGCCACGCGCCCTAATTCCACGCGTTGTGTCGCCACGCGCCATATTTCCACGCGTTGTATATCTTCACGCGCCATATTTCCACGCGTTGTATATCTTCACGCGCCATATTTCCACGCGTTGTATATCTTCACGCGCCATATTTCCACGCGTTGTATATCTTCACGCGCCATATTTCCACGCGTTGTATATCTTCACGCGCCATATTTCCACGCGTTGTATATCTTCACGCGCCATATAATTCCACGCGATGTGTCGCCACGCGCCATATTTCCACGCGTTGTATCGCTACGCATTGTACCTTCACGCGTCATACTTTAATGGGTTGCACCCCAACGCGCTATATTTCCCTCTACTATATTTCAACATGACGCATCACCTCTAGTCTCCCTTCCACAAATAAAATAAATGTTTAAAACATTTTAAATATAGAATCATTTTATACTTTACAGGTTTTGTACACGAACGCCACCTATCTGATGACGTTGAGGGCGGTCGTACGCGAATGAGACCTTCGCAAATCATTTTTATTTTATTTTAATAGAAGAAAAATGAAATAGGTTTGGTTAGGAGACGTTTATAAACTTTTATTGTGTTTGAACAGAAGGAAAATGAAATAGGTTTGTTTAGGAGAATAAGACATTTTTTATTGCCTTTTAACAGAAGAAAAATGAAATTCGTTTGCTTAACACTTTGCCTATCTTCGCCTAATCTTTGATACAATAACTCAGTAACACTGTTTACAGAAACTCCGCTTAATTCGAACCATTTCAAATATGGTCCATACAGTTTTCCATCGATTAGCGATGGTCGTTTAATCCCTGTCGACGAAGCGGAAACGAAGCGGTTTATTGGGCACGTTCACCATTTGGAATCTGCTTTTAATGTCGGCGTAGTCGTATTCGATTCGGAATTGCCGTATGAGCTGTAAACGTGAATGTATCAAAACTTCGTGACACAATACAAACTACTGTAATTACCCTTGCTGTTAATAGCATCATCGTCACTTCGGCCATATTTTTCCCTAAACATGATCTCGCACCGTAACCGAAAGGCAAGTAGCTGTAATTCGTGTCTTCTGTGGAATTCAGCCATCTTTCTGGACGGAACTTTTCTGGGTCCTCAAAGTTCTCCTCTCGCTTCGAGGTGATCTCGTTCGCCATTATGACGAAGGTCTAAAAAATAATTTTTGAATTGTGAATTTATTGATTAGGTTTTGAAGTAAATTGCAATTCTGTTTTGGAGCAAATTGTAATTATATTTTGAAGCAAATATAATTTGATATCAAGAACTGACAAAATATGAACTTACTCCTTTAGGTACCGTGTACCCATGTATCGATATCGTTTTAGGTAACAGCCTGGTGATGTAAGGAACCGCTGGACGCAACCTGCAAATCAGATTATTTATCTACAGATAAAATTTCTCCTAAAGATTCGACGTTACCTTAAGCTCTCTTGAAGACAAGCTCTCAAGTACGGCATACTTCTCAGCGTTTTCTCCGTGAAAGACGAATCGCTTGGTAAAACTGACACGATCTCTTCGTACAGCTTCCTCTGACTCCGCGGGTTCCTCGCTAAGTAATACAGCAAGAATGCTTCAGAGTTCACTGTCTGAAAGTTAAACCTGTTAATCTCGTTTTATCTTGTACACCCAGAATCATGTCCATTACCGCTTGTACACCCAGAATCATCATGTCCATCAGCAACGTACAGACGTCGTCCGGATGTATGCCTTCGTTCAAGAGGAACTTTTCCAAAATGGGCGCACCCTCTTCGGTCTTGCCACTTTGGGCTCGGGTTCGGAGCTTGTTCTGCGCCTGACGGACGTGCTTTGCTATGACACTGAAGAATGTAGAACTGTTAGAGAACTATTAGAAAAATTAGAGAAATATAATAATTTGTTTTCAACCCTTTGCACTATTTTAACGAGTCAGACTCGTGACGCACTCGGTCGTGATCAATTTTACTCAAATTTTTAATACGCTTCAATTTGGAGTTCAAGTCCAATTATAATTTGCATAGTTAACTATTGACATAACATTCCTTTTTGTATATTTTAATATTGTAGCTATAATTAGGCAGTTCTGATTAACGCGCCTGACAAATAAGTCATAGTGCAAAGGGTTAAGAGATATGTACCCATCGAGCACGTCACAGGCGTCAAACAGCTTCCGTGCGAAGGGAGTCAAGAAGAATCGCCACACTTGGAAGCCCGTTTCGCAGCGACTCATGTATTTGTGGGCGACCGACAGTGCATTGATGATCCTCGACGTCTCTGACGTGGAGTTGTAGCCCGCTGGTTCTAGGAAACCCAGGTGCTTGTTGAATGTGAGACTGCAGAAGCACTCCATGCCCCAGCGGAGGATGTCTTCGTGAAATGTGGGAGGCACCTGATGATATCAAGCCTGTTATTAAGATTGCCAGGCGCAAAGTTATGAACGTACTTCATTTTGCCTGTTCCTGATTTTGTATATCCTGTTGATCAGCTCGTCACAGACGGTGTCGATTCTCTCGAAGAACGTGGAGGCCATCTGATCGAAGTCTTGCTCTACCTTCTCCCTCATCTCGAGCCACTCGGAGCCTTGCCTGAATATTTAACTTAAAATTAATCTGGGTTAAATTAGTAAATACTGTAGTAATAGTTGCTCGAAGATAACTGACAGCGAGAATGGGCCCGCGAGTCGATATTTGCGATAGTGCAGACGGTAATGCTGTAAAATGTCGATTCCGCTTCGAACCGGTGTGTCACCTTCTTGTTTGAAGACCTCCGCTATATGTTCTGGTCTGTCGACAAAAATTTAAATTCTATTCATTACTTTGTAACGTGTAATAGAGCTTTGATTATCCGAATGAATACAAGTACAAGTGTTAACTTTAAACACATTTGCTTTGTGTTAACTTTAAACACTTCGACTTAACTAAGTTTTGAACACACCATCTAAGTTTTAACTTTGAGCACAGTATCTAAGTTTTAACTTTGTTCGCACAGAGTTGAATTCATCTCTGCCAATTTTCTACACTCCACTGTTCTTCAGACTATTTAGATTACAGATCGAAGGAACAAATGAGCTTCTTACCTATGAATCATGACAATGTCTCCAGAAAGTGGTCCATTGATTCTCACGATGCACCCGTACTCGTTGAACAAGTACTTCAAAGGAGTGACGTTGCGGTTCCACGAGAGTCGTCCTGCAAACCACTCGTTTGAAATTCGATAATCCCTATGTGCAATCTGATCAGTGTACTAATAAAAACAACCTATCTCTCATAATTTTTGAAAGATCCAATTCGAACTAATAGACTTGAAGATTTCTAGATTTCAAATTGTATTTTGTTCAAGACAGGGATTTTCGAATTTCGATCTATCGAAACTTCAACAGATCGTACCCTGGGTGAATCTGTTGATTAGCAGACTGGAAAACAGTTGCGTACCGAGCAGCGGCACGTATTTCCAATACTTCTCCCAGATTTTCAACACAGCGGGTCCTGGAATCTCCTCGAAAGGGGCGGACTTGTCTCCGATGATCTGCGGCTCGATTTTCGGCGTGACGTCGAACGAGGTCGACACTTCCGGAGCATGATCCAACAGTGGTATCGTATTTGTTCGAGTTAACGATTCATTCATCACCGCCGCTGCTTGAGACTGACCAATGGGCGCAGCTGTACAGAAATTAATATTAATATTAGTTTATTGAATATCAAATTTCACGAGCCAATAATATTAAAATATCGTAATTATACTGTATCAGTAACCGATGATAACGACTACATTAACCCTTCATTATTACCCATTAGTAAACATCAAATTCCCAATCGCCATTGCAAATTGATTGAAATACGAAATTGCGAGAGCCATTAATTCCATAAAATATGCGGCTGTCAAAGTGTTCAATTGCGGATCAATAAACGCTATATTTGCTAGGGTTAATTATCGTTACTGAAAATTTACTCACAGAGTATGTCAGCCGCGTTCAGATCCAGACATTTTTGACTCTCGTTCACCGTCAGGGGTTTCGACAACTTCGCCACGGAACATTGTCGAGAAATCGTCGCGAATTTCGGTAACAAACGCTGCATCCTAAAACCTATTCACTTAACAGCAACTTTTAATAAAATTCGATTTTGTGATACTGGATTCTGAGCTCGAGAAACAGTTAATAGCTGACGGAAAAAAATTAGAGCATCGTCGATGCGCAACTTCACCTCGTTGTCGGTGACTATTCGATCGACTCGAAATAATAGAGGCATTCTTTGTATATAAATTTTATTTTATAAATTCGGTACTTAAAATTAAATAATGTACATCAAACGTCAACTTCGATCTCGACGTCTTCATCGTCTGAAACAGTCTTTTCCGCGTTCTTCTCCTTTATCTTTTTAGTCTCCTTTTGCGAATCGGAAGTTTGACTCTCGCTTTCTTTCGTGTGTCGCCACTTCATTCGCCGATTTTGGAACCAAACTTTCACCTGGAGTAAATAAGATACAATACCAGACATTAGTATAGAAAATTACTACGGAGAAAATAATTATTAAAGAGAATATTAAAAATGTGACAATCATCAAGGTGTTTCCTTAACCCTTCCCGTACCATTTATTTAACAGATGCGTCAGTCAAGACTATAAAGGGCTATAACATTAAAACGAACAAAGAAAATTAAAATGTGAGTATTTTATATTCAGGGGTCTTTGATAATGCAACTTATAGTTGGACCTAAATTTCAAGTTAAAGAATGTTCAAAGTTTGTCACATTTTGTAAGTGCGACACGAGTGAGACTCGTCAAAGGGGTTAACAGAAAGAGTATCAATGGCCATAAAAAATAATACCTGAGCGTCTGTAAGACCAAGAGTAGCAGCTAGCTGCCTTCTATCAGGCTTCGTGATGTACTTCTGCAAGGAGAATCTTCTCTCCAACCCCTTCCTCTGCAAGGAGCTGAACACAGCCCTCGACCAGGACCTCTTTCTTCTGGTACTGGACTCTGATTGACTGGTGGGTGTCGATGTGGAGGATATCGGAACTGTAGAAGACATTCATTCGAATTATGATTAATTTGAGAGCAGCTTGTGGAAGAGGATTCGTCACGAATTGGAGACGGTAGTCTCAGCTGTATGGGGTGAGTGTTTCAACGGATCCTGAAGAGGCCCCCGAGATTGGGTACTTCTGGCTGATTTACAACCCTACCGTAAGTATACAACATGTGTACGTATTTAAACAGTGTGGTTCTCTCCGGTTGGTACGATCCGAATGAATTAGACCCAGGCAGTTTGTAAGGTCATAGTTATTTCGGGAGCTTTATGCTGCCGTTTGAAAGTGCAACTTCGATTGATGAGTTTTCGGTATTGTTGGATTACGAGGTATACGTAAATATTTAACTTAGTTTCTATCGAAACTGGGCGATTAATTGTAAAGATTACTATTGCAAGTCTAACATCTTGCAAATTTCATATCTTGCAAATTTAATATCTGGCAAATTCAATATCTTGCAAATTTCATAACATTTATTAATAGAACCCTGTTTCTCTGATCACCTTATTTCCGAGCACCATTCAAACACAAAATTACGATTTCCGATGAAAGGTCTGCTCGCTCGCTAAAAAAACAGCTCCGACTAAAATTAAATTTTTACTCAAAAGTTAACAACAAAACCATGACATAAAAAATCTTGGTATTCAAAAATATTTCCTTTCAAAATAAACGGTATTGCATGTCTAAAGATACGAGAACAATTAAATTGATCAGGATTTGTAATTTTTATAGGTACTTCAGGCTCGAGAGATTCACGGCTACAAGATTTCCGACTTTTAACTAACCGAGAAGGGGCACGACGAAAACCGCTGTTTACGCCGGGCATAAACGAACGGTGGCACTTAAGATGTCGTTTAAACACGGACAGGAAACACGAGAATACACTGGCACGTAAATATTTTGCCCTACTTGCTGCCGAGTATTCGAGAGACAAGACAGCGATCCATATGCTCGCATTTGTTAATGACGCAACTTTCGTTTCATGAGTCGATGCTCCTGGATTATTTCCGTTAAGTGCATTTTCTTCTCTTAGATTAATTACGAGTTGAAGTTTTATTAGATAGATACACTTTGGAGGTGATTTGTTACGAATTTGATTGAGTAGATTCATTGGATACATTCGGTATTCAGTTTAATATAGTTTATAATAAATTTTGTTTGACTAAAGCTAGATTATGATGTGTGACGATGTGTAACATAATGGAAGACATTAGAAGTAAGAGAGAAATAGTAATTTTAAAAGGAGTCAGCTAGTTTGTTACGAATTTGACTAAGCAGTTTCATTGGACACATTCAGTATTCAGTTTAATACAATTTATAATAAATATTGTTTGACTAGATCTATATTATGATGTGTGATGACGTATGAACATAGTAGGACAGACATTAGCAGCAACAGAAAAATAGCAAACTTAAAAGAAGTCAGCAAATTTATTACGAATTTACCAGTCAGTTTAATTCACCACATTCGACACATTCACCATTCAGTCTAATACAAAAATTCATAATAAATATTTTTTAATTAAATCTACATTACGATGTGTAACGATGTATGCTTATAGTGGAAGACATTAGAAACAGACATTAATAACAGAGAAAAAATAATCTTAAAAGAAGTCAGTAAATTTTATGAACAAAACTAGAAAGTTTTAAGTAAAAGTATCTTCAAGTACAAAATAAATATTGTTTAATAATTTTTTATCTTACCTCGAGGAACAGGTCGAAGGGGAGCAGGTCGATAGATGCTCGGATAATTTTCGACGATAGCATGATTGCCATAACTTCCATTAATTTGAGCATAGGGAAAGGTGGGGCAGAGTCTGAGGGCTTCGCACCTGACGCATCCTCCGGGACAAGGGCAGCGCAGGGTGGAGAACTGGACCGGAAGTGGCCGGAGTACATCTTGTCGAAGACACAACGTCTCTTGAAACTCGCATAAACGAAAGAAACGCGTTCTCACTTATCGCGAAAATCAGAATCGACTTAATGAAAACAACGGAAACGGAATATTTAATCTATAACGTTTGTTTTGAAAGCGCGATTTCCGGTGCTCTCACCTGTTCTCTTCGTGCTGAATTCTTCCGATAATATACGTTCCACGCCGAACTTTAACTGTTTGGAACAATTCGTGTTGTCCACCACGTGTGTTTTCACTTCGTTCATTTTTAAATCCTTTTGCACAACTTTTAACTTTATGACATCTTTTGAGACCGAAAACCACTGTCTCGATTTGTCATGACGGAAGATTGACACATCGATTAATCGAATGTAGACGACGCTAAAGTTAAGGGTTGACTAAACGATGCATAGGAACATGGGTTTCTGCCATCTTCAGATTTTCGTTGGAAAAAAGAGAAAAAACGAAATATCGTGGGAGCTCGGTGCAATTTGGCCGATGGGATTGGCCCACACGAATACCGTAGGCGTGGCTCACTGAAGATTGGTTCCTGAAGGATGATGATGAGTCCGAATGTCAGGCTCTCATGCGCTGCTTCGCAGCATTCCTTCTTCTCGTTTCGTGAAATAAACATTATAAAAGTACCATAAAATCGTGCGTAACGATACGATTGGCTGGTGATACTTGACCATTGAGAATGAAGGTGAAATATTTAGCTTTGTTGGAAAGTTACGTTCACATTTTTAAAAATAAAATGCATACAACAAATTACTTGATTATTATTTACACTGATGCTTGATTTTTTGGAAGATTTTTATTTTGTCAAAAATTAACAGTATATTTTTATTAATCACACGTGTCACATCTTATGGTACAATTTATCTGAAACGTCTGAAGACATTTTGAACATAGTCTTGAAAATTTCGGTACATTTCTGACAAGAGAAAAATATAAAAATGGTAGCGAAGCTATAGATATCCACGGAATAATAGCATAGAGACGTATGGCCGATGATATCTCTGGAAGCCATATGGTTATCTTTGCATGCAGACTTTCGGAGTATACAGTCACTTAGGTGTTTATTTGAACAGCCATGTTTGAAGCAGCCTCTACCCACATGCTAAGAATATTCTTCGGGATATGTACACACCGTGATCCTCTATTCGATTTTATTAGGTTTTAGGATTTTCAAGAGTCCGCCGAATCATGATAAGCGAATCCCTAATTGAGTGCTTGGATCGCGAAACCTCTTTTTCGATCTCTCAACGCGTCTTCTATTCCTAATCTTCAAAAATTATGGAAGTTAATTATATTCCGCGTATTTTCGGGACAACATGATCATTCCTTGATACAATTTCTCTATTTGGAACTCGTTTACATCTACTCTGACGTTTCTCCGTGGACGATAATTCTGTAAATTCTGCAGCGTTTGCAGACCTTGCAAATTCTAAAACAGAAATGAACGAATTCCCCAAAAAATTCGTTTTGCAGATTTGCACTTTTACTCACCGAGAGAACAATAACGTTTCCATTGTTCGCGTTCATGGAATTTTGACGAATAGTCGTTATTATCATCGTCAGCAGATAGCCACCGAACGCCAGAAATGACAGGGCAGTGACAGACAGTTGAAATATCTTTGAAATCTTCGAGTCTTTGCCCTTCTCGTCGTAGTGGTCCTCGTAACGTCTTATGGACTTCTTGTTGAACCTCTTCAAGGGCTGCGCAACGGGGAGCGACACCGATAACATCCTACTTGAAGCTTCCATATCTTCTTCAGGAGCCTCATCTCAAATTTCACGAGAATTTTTCTTCTATTTCGATGCTTATTTTTCTGGCGTATTATGGTATTTTATTTTACCTTCGATGAGGGAGGACTTTATGTGAATCAACTCGGTTATTGGCAGCTCGCTCAGACTGCGAACCTCGTCCAGGTAGAAGGATGTTCGATTTGCGGATGTTGGTTTTGAAGATAGTAACGTCACGAAGGCAATAGTTGCAGAAATAAAATTTCTGTAACATTCACATTTCGTTATGCAATATTTTTCATAAAGTCCTTTGTACTTATAATTATTTCGGAAAATTTGATACTCCTCTTGCAAAAGTTACTGGTACTCACTTTCTCGCCATGTCTACCGAAATACTACAAGAGAACTGACTTACTTCTCGCTCAAGACTTATCCAGGACATAATTGTCCCCTCGAGTCCCAATTTCTTCTGCTTGGTCAGCAAAGCGTTGAGTCCCAATCACCGCGTCACAAAAACTCACCAGGATGGAAATGAGTAATTAAAATCCGTTACACCTGTCTCTTCTTCAGTACACAAAACGTTTCCGTAGCGTCAACATGTCAAGACATCTGTGTCTTCTTTGTATCACCGTCTTAACTTTACATCACGTCGATGGATTACCAGAAAACAATGGTTAGTGATACTTGTGGGTCATAAATTAATCTACTTGTGGGCATAAATTAATCAATTATGTTTACAGGCGTTCTACACAAGATCAAGGCAGGCTTGGAGTATGCCACAAATTATTTGGAAACTGCGAAGGATATTGCTGATTTGGTGGCGAAGAGCTTGGGTCATAATTCGAAACGAGGCGAAGATGATGTGAAGCAGAAGGGTACTTTTGGGACGTCGAATCTCGTGTCTGCGTTTTTCAGGCTTGTTGGGTTGGACTCGCAGAAGGTCACTGCTATTGCGGTTAACAGTGTCATATTTCTGGCGCAAATGGTGTGTATATTGTATGTCATGCTTTGTATTGTCACGCGTTATGTTCTTTTATGTTGTATTTCCACGCTTTGTGTTACCACGCGTTATATTTCCACGCGTTGTATATCTCCACGCGCCATATTTCCACGCGTTGTGTCGCCACGCGCCATATTTCCACGCGTTGTGTCGCCACGCGGCATATTTCCACGCGTTGTGTCGCCACGCGCTCTAATTCCACGCATTGTGTCGCCACGCACGATATTTCCACGCGTTGTATACCTCCACGCGCCATATTTCCACTCGTCATATTTCCACGCGTTGTATATCTCCACGCGCCATATTTCCGCGCGTTGTGTCACCACGCGCCTTAATTCCACGCGTCGTGTCGCCACGCGCCATATTTCCACGCGTTGTGTCGCCAAGCGCTCTAATTCCACGCGTTGTGTCGCCACGTGCCATATTTCCACGCGTTGTATTTCTCCACGCGCCATATTTCCACGCGTTGAACTGCCACGCGCCCTAATTCCACGCGTTGTGTCGCAACGCGCCCTAATTCCACGCGTTGTGTCATCACGCGCCATATTTCCACGCATTGTTTCGCCACGCGCTCTAATTCCACGCGTTGTGTTGTCGCGCGCCATATTTCTACGCGTTGTGTCCCCATGCGCATAACTTCTCACGTCATATTTCCACGCGCCATACCTTCTCGCGTCATATTTCCACACGTTGTGTTATCACGCGCCATATTTCCACGCGTCGTATCGCTACGTATTGCACCTCCACGCATCATACTTTAATATGTTTCACCCCAACCCACTATACTTCCACCCATTACATTCCAACGTGACGGATCACCTCTAGTCTCCCTCCCACAAGTAAAATAAACTTACACACCTTGCATAAAATCCTCAAAATTCGCATTCTAATTCACACTAACCTCAGATAGGTTCACTATTCGACCTGAAGCCCCCCAAAGAGAACCTCGCCCGAAATTTGGAAGACGACTTACCGTGGAATCCAGCGGACCTCATCACAGAAAGCAAGAACGACAGAGTGAGTTACCCAGCAATTAAAAACCAGCGCATTCACTTAATAATATCATTTGCAGATACAGAGATTGTTAAATCAGGCTCAGGATGATGAACTACCGAATCAGCTGATCGAAAGAATAGAGGACGTGAATTTGGGATGCGTGAGACTCTTGCTGTGCAAAACGTCGCCGGTGATCAGAGGTGTGCAAAATTTTCTGAGGAATAAAACGCGAAACGAATCGCATCGAATGACTTCATGGCTTCCCAGCAGGGACCAGTTCGAAGAAAACAGCGACGAATGTGAAAACACGCATACCGATTGCAGTTTATTTTCCTAGCCATAGTTATCGAAGCGGTTCCGAGTTTATTTAAGTTTATTCGCGGCGAAGTTGGTCGGAAAAAGAGTACGATGGATGGGGGTTCTTTCTTTCTTTTTTTAGAAACTGAGAAATTAATCCGTTGAATCGTCGTGTAACAATTTACTGTTGCATGCATCAGTTTTATTTAAGTATATGTATAGCATGTTTCACATTTTGATCATCAAAATAGTTCAATTAAACTAAGGGGTTGTAACAATATAAGATCTAGGTATATTAAACAGTCTTTGATAGGTTTGAGAAATTCATTGGTCTAAATGACATAATAGTTTTATTGTATATACGGTGTCCTCGGAAGAAAGGATACTGATCTGAATTAAATCGAACGGAAATTTTGATAGGTCGGATTTAAATAAATATTCTTGCAGAAGTTGATTTAAAAGGAAATAGTATCCTTTCATTCGTGGACACCCTGTACAAGTTATCGAAACAATCATTAACCATTGTTTCTTCTCGCTAACAATTTTTCACCCTCGATGAAAAGAGAATCGTGGTATTAGTTTGTATAGTATATATATTTGCGTCCATACAAATATATATTATATTACAGAATATACAAGGTATTCCAAAATTAATTTATCGAATATCTTGTGTACGTATCTGCCGCAACTTTACACGTGCGTATCAAATGAAATAGAAAAGGAATGAAATGCAAATCGATTCTTCGAACCAAGATGGGCCTGTTCAATGTTTAAAATAAACTTGTGCTTCGAATCGTTTCGCGAACGGCTTCCCGATACGAGATTAAACAACACTTTAAATATTGTTTCGTGATTCAACAAACTTCGGTTAAAGATAGAGAAAAAACGATATCCAGCAACGCATCGTAAAATTATTGCACTGACGAAGCACCTTTCAAACGATCATAAAAATTCACGTAGCAATTATTTCTCTAATAAACGAAACGGATGCTTGTACGATTCGCAAGGACGGCGCTAATGAAGATTATCTATTTAACTCAGATACAACCGTATGTCTACGATTTCGAATATCTACGTGCTCCTTTATCCATATACAAAATCACCTAAACTCGACTTTAGTCGATTAATATGAGTACAAGCGAAACAAAGTTCGACGAGAAACAGCAACGAGAGTAACAAGTAAAGGGGAACAACGATTATAAAAACAAGGTTTCTCGCGAAATTAACGCGTTCACCGATTGCCAAGACTTGGAAATGAACGCGTTAACTTTGGGCCTCTAACTACATCTAATGAGATCAGGATTATTGCGAGCTACGTTTCCCGGTAATGTCGAACTCTAGAAATTAATTGCGGGTAGCCTCTGGATTCTAGGAACACCGTTTAACCCTCGAAGGTTCATTCATGGAAATAAAAGCTGGTCAAATTCTTAAAAGTCTGTCAACAAAATTTAAAACGTGACCCTCGAGGGTTAACACCGAACTTTGGCATTCGAGAGACAATCTCACCAGAGAGCTCAGACGTTAAATTCACCCGACTTTAGGCAAATACACTAGTTTTGATTTTAGGTTCGGGTTAGACTTGACGAGGTGAATCTAACCTGTACGTATACATGTAGTAGACTCTCGTTATATTGCCCTTCAAGCCTATGGCTGCAAGATCGCAATGAAAATCCACAACTCGGCAATATAACGAGAGTCCATATACACTCGCAGAAAAATCCAGCCCGAAAATATAAACTATCGAGAAAGGAACGGAACCTGTATAGGAAATTATTTACAGGAGAGCCCATTCACAAGTTCATTCACGATTTCACCAAGAGTCCATTGCCTTTTAGGCTGAACGATTTCTGCACACTGCAGTCTTTGGTAGGAGCAAGCGGAGACGAGGTTCAAGGTCAGCCAGTGACCTGACTAGAGGTTCGAAACGACGAAATCCAGTTCGTTTCCAAAAACGCGAATCGAAACTATCGTTGAAGAAGAAGTATAGGAAGCAACTGGAAACGAATCGACGGACGATCGCCGTTTACAGAGTCGCTTGACCTGGACTGATCAAATCGGTGCTCTCTGCGCAGGCTTGCCGCAACCAATCACGCAGGTTCCATGTTCTTTCCATTAAGTTTGAAGTGGGTTTGTCGACGGTGCCGACGCTGGTCGTGAAACCGCTGTTAGGACCGTACTGGGCGATTATGTTCTGCGTGGTGGTCACCGGTGGTTGCGTGGCTGTTAGCTGGGACAGGATGTTCGACTGGATATTCGGGGTACCAAACGTTCCTGAAAATCCAGATCCTCATAAAGATTTAACATTTCAAAATAAAATAAGACTGTTTTAACAGCTGCGAGATTTCCACAGACCTTGTACGCTGTTTGATTGTGCTGCAAGGTGGTGAAAACGTAGCCATCGCAAATAAGAGTACATCAAAGTGGGCGGCGGTGGAGTGTTAGTGTCCAAACGTTTGTTCAGCACGCCCCAGATCTCACGTATCTCTGAGTTTAGGTTTTCCAGGCTTGCGATGATTTCCGTCGACTCCTGGTAGTGATCCGGTTTGTCTGAATACGTCGGGATCGTGACACAAAATCGAAAGAAAATTGTTGAGTAAAAGAAAGCAACCAAAGATCTCGAACCGAAAGGACTAACTAACGGAACTGAAAAATGGAGTGTGAAAAGAAAGGGAAGGGATTGAGGACTGCAGCTCACCTATGAACGTGTCCGTTCCCAGATCCGTTGAACTGAAGCCACTGCTGGCGCTGGACATGTCGCTCAACGTTAGTTCGTCGTTTCTCGTCGAAGTTGGGTCGTTTTCGTTCCTTTTGGCACTCGCCACTCTCTCCAAGGATTGTTCCAGATGCCTCAGATGAATCACCTTCTCACCTAAAAGACTTCTGGTTCGATGTAGGCTCACCTCCATTTCCGAAAGTTCCCGTTCCTCCTGCAAAATTAAGTGCTCAGGTTAGCACTTGTAACTTGTTTCACTGTAAAAGTGTGTTCCAGCTACCAGGCCACATATAGGGTGCTTTAGGTCTTGGCTAATTTGTTCAAGGTTATAATAAAAAATCTTCGTGTCACATTTTTAGAAAACAGGGTTGAAGTGACCAAACCTGAGACACTCCATACTGAGTTGCATTCTTGCTAAATTAACACTTTACTCTTTAACCCCTATGTCTTATTTGGTGCGTCAGTTAGAACTGACTAATTACAGCTACATTATTAAAACAGACAAAAAAGTTTGAAATGTTATGTCAATATGTTATTATGCAATCGTTGACTAAGCAAATTATAATTAGACTTGAACTTTAAATTGAAGCATACTAAAAATTCGAGTAGAATTGATCATGGCTGAAGTACGAATGCGTCACGAGTCAGACTCGTCAAAATAGTGCAAATATCCAAACCTTCCTTCAGAGGTGAAAATCCTAAGGTTAAGATTTGTCTATAACTAACAAACTGAAATGAAGTGCTCAGGTTAGCACTTAATTTGATAAAATCAAGATGATAGTGAAAGTACCTGAACCAATTGCTCGAGGGTTGCCCTGGCGCTACGTTGCTTCCAAGCCCTCTGTCGCCCGTGGAATGCGTTCTCTTGGTGTCGGAGCGCCTCTCGAGCCCTTCTCACGGAATCCCTCTCGACGTGGATTCGGTGCCGGAAGAACTCCAGCTCCGAGGAGGCGTTCGCCAGCGCTAGAAAATCGAGCAGATTCCTTTTCGGTGTCATCCGACACGCCCTAGGCTGCTTGGCTCGCGAAAGCGGCGTGCAAGAAAAGAGGTAACGGAAAGAAGAGAACGAAAGAGAAACGAGTCATAGAAGGAGAACCAAGAGTCCGGTGGTGCGTTCAGCGGGCCCAGAAAAGCCGCTAGCCAAAATAAAGTCTATAGATGCCTGGGGAAGAAATCATAAAACAATTTTCAAAATCGACCAATTGTGAGAAACAATCGAGAAAGAAACTGCGTTCGCGCGCGTGATGGCGTAATTGAAGCGGTTAAGCTGTAGACGCTTGACTGTTAGTTGTGAAAGTGTGTTCCTGCTACCAAGCCATGTATAGGGTGCTCCAAGTCTTCTCTAATTTGTTCAACGTTATTAACAAAAATTCACTTCATGTTACATTTTTATAAAACAAGGTTGATGAAGAAATGACAAACTGAAAAACCTGAGACACTCCATACTGTGTTGCATTCTTGCTGCCAAATTAACACTTTACAGTTCAACAAAAATCCAAACCTTCCTTCAAAGATCCTTCTTAAGGTTAAGTGTCCATACATAAACTAATAAACTGATTTTGAAAGACCACTACAGTAAAGTGTTAACGTAAAAGCTCAACTGTCGAATGTCCCCAAGGTCCCTTTAAAAAGATTCACCTTTGTCCTGGAAAGGATACCGCAGCGTGTAGGCCGTTTCATTGCTGGGCAGCTGATCGCCCAGATCCTCCAGCTTCTCCAGCTGCTTCCTGATGTTCTCAACCGGGTTCTCGAGGTTGTTGTTGTTGTTGTTGCCAGAGCTGGCCCTGGCGGCGCTGGTCTTCTTGCTGAAGTTCTTCTTCCTCTTCATCATCATGTTCGCGTTCATCTCGCTGGCGGTGGTCGTGTCGTCGGACTCGACTCGGGCGGCGACCGTCTTCGAGATCGACGCCGCTCCACTCTTCTGAAACCCCGAATTCTGAACCTTCTGAACCGAGTCGTCCGACTTGTGTTCCTCGGTCTGCTCCTTCGTGGTTTGTGTCTCGTGCGCTTTCGCGCTCGTCGTCGCCGGGGGTGGGCGCGTGTTCCTTAGCGGCGTACTGCGAGCACGATTTAAGGCCTATAGCCAGACATTAGGGCGAATCGCATGAACGTGAGAGAGTACCTTCACAGTTCACTTTATGAGCGAGGTTTAAACTATTAGGATTAGAGCGATCGAGGGGTAACGTCTCGAAAGTAAGATGAGCCGACTGCGAAGGTACTGGAGGTGACGAGGAAAATGGAGGTGCAAAAAACGAATATGAACACTGATTCGAGCAACGTGACCGCGTTGAACGTTTCAAGAATAACATGAATTCTCAAAACTTTCAGCGTGGTGGTAACACACAAACGGAACCATGCTTCCGAATCGGTTGTCACGACACGTACAATATCAGAGAGCGGTCCAAAACGTGCGATCAACCCTTTGCGATTCATTTCGTTTCTCTCGTTTCACACCGCCTCCATCTGTACGACGCTCCTACAATGTTGAGATGGCTTGAGAATTTCTGAACGGCAAACGGTTGACCATAAATGATTCGCGACAATACGAAGGTTAAATTCGACTCACTTTTGTTCCGACGATTCGGTCTTGTCGGTTCGGGTCCTCGTGGACGTTGACCTCTCCGTCTCCGAGGCAGTGGTGTATTCCTCCTTTCTTCTGCTCCTCCTCTCGACCGCCAAACGAACCTCCGTCTTCAGCTTCACGTATTTCTCCTTTAAAGCCATGTACTTGTCCTGCAGCAGCCGTTTCTCGCAACGCATTTTCTCGAACTCTATACTGTCCTGCTGGAGAGCTCGCTCCGTCTGCTTCCTCGCTTCCTTCTCTGCGTCGCGAGAGAAATCCGCATGGATCTCCTCCAGACGCTGCTTGTACATCTTTCGGGTGAGATCCTCCTGCGAAAATTCCGGTTCGTGGAACGCGTGAGGATAGAAATCGAAGATAGTATGACGGTAGAAGTTACATCGCGATAATACGCAACGTGACGATATCTCGCGTGACGATACGCTGCGTGACACTACGACGCGACATGTAGCGTGACGTTACGGTGAACAGTGCGTGACTACACAATGTGATTGTACAATGAAAACGTATACTAGCAATGAAATATCAAAATATTGGAATCAGGATCAGTAGATAACCATCAGGTTGTACTGCTATCAGATAATAATACGCACTAGCGTTTTATTCAGTAACGTTGAAATATAATTCTTCAAGATACAACAGAATAGATCTCTCTTAAAGCTATCCTAAGGCGCTAAGGACGGTGTTGGAAAGAAGCTTCGGTTAAATATTGCACAATATAATCTTAAAATTTAACTTCAGAAGTAACTAAAGTAACAGGCAGCGTCAGGTACTCACGTCGATTCTAAAGTCGCGAAATATCTCCGCTAAACATTTCTCATGATCTTCCGTGATCTTCGTGATCTTCTCCCTTTGCTGTATCCGCAGTTTGGTGCGCAGATCGTCGAATTCGCTGTCGAGTTTCTTCTTCAGGGCCTCGATCTCCTCGGAATGTTGTTTTCGCAGCTCGAACTCGGTCAGTTTGGCGAGTTTCTCCTCACCTAGGTCTCGTTCGTATTCGTTCTCTAATTTCCCCATCTCCTGATTCCGTAATTCTAGTAATTCTTTTCTCCTCTCGTCGAGTTCAGTCTTCAAATTCGCTAAAATCTCTTGTCTCTCCTTTTCGTAACACACTTCCAGCTCTGCCTTCACCTTCTTCAGGTTCTCCAACCTTGCCTTATCCATCTCGGCGATCAGTTTCTGGATCTCCTGCTCCTCCTTAAATAATCACAAATAATTAATCTGCTGAAACATTAAAAAATTGTTAGAGTGACATACCTTCTCAGCCATTTCTCTCTTCAACTCCTCCAGCTTGTCGTTCAAATTTTTCTGCAGCAGCTGTTTCTGTTCCACGAAGTTCTCCTCCAGTTCCTTCTTCGTCTGCTCCAGCTTGTTCTGGAAGTCCGTCCTCAAAGCCTCTATGTCTTTCTGATGCTCCTTGCTGAGTCCCACCCTCGCCTCGTCGAAGTTCCTGTTCTGCTCCTCCTTCAAACGCTCCCTCCGCGACTGCTCCACATCCTGGTTAACTTTCGACAAGTCGGACGTGACGTCATCGTCGGTCTGCTTATCGTTCGTGAAACGAATCGCCGATTTTTTAGGCTTCACCGTCTTCTTGCTCTTCCGGATCTCGTCGGAGTCACTGCTCTTCACAACGCTGCAATCCGTCTCGCTCCTCGAGACCAGATCGATGTTCTTTATCTTCGTGAATTTGTTATTGGGCACATAATCTAAACTGCTCTCCCGTGACAGACTGTCTCTTCGCAGACTCTCCCTGGCCATTTGACTGCGGTGCTCGTTTTCGGAGACGTTCTGAACGACGAACCTTCTGCCGACCACCTTGCCGTTCTTCGGAGGCTCGGCCTTCTCGGAGGAGGAGCTCTTTCTGGTGTCCTCGTCGAGCTTGCTCTCGGTGTCCTCCTTGTTCTCGTCGTCGAAGCTCTGGGAACTCGGTCTTTGAGAAGACAGAATCGACCCAGTGGGCTTGGTCGAGACCACTGCGGATATTCGCACGTTCTGCTCCTCGGATTCGGACTCCCACTCGTCCTCGGACCCGGAATAGGTGAACTTGATGTCCACTTCTTTCTCTATGTCGAAACGGACGCTCTTTCGTTCTTCGTCCACTGGTCTGTCGTCTGTTGGCAATGGAATACAAGGTGAAAGGTGATATTTAAATCTAGGTACCTCTGATTCTTAGCAAACTCCATTAATTAATTCTTGAAATGCAAACTCTTAGCAAACTCCATTTCAAGTAATTCTTGAAATGCGACGACTCACATTTTCACTACGATTCAATTTCGCGTTTAATTTCAATTCTTACCCCTCCATCAATGATCGCCATATAGAAAATGTCCCTAACATTTGAACATTCTCTGTCTGTCTTAATGTTACAACAATAACTCGCCCTGTCTGACGCACTTGCTGAGACAATCATAAGTTAAGGAGTTTCAACGTTAAATCTCTGTCTTACCATCCTCCGACTGCTTCTCCCTGAGTATCGACTTCAGCCTATCTCCAACGATATTCACTTCGTCAGCAATCGCCACAGTGCGGAAGTCGTCCAACTTAGCACCTTCCTGGCTAGGAGTAGTATCCCTGCTCCTGTTGCTTTTCAGGAACATAGTCCCTCCGCCGCTCAGAGTCAGCTCCTTCTGTTGTCCAAACTGACTAGGATGTTTCTCCTTGTCGAACTTCTCAGGCCTCTCCGATCTCGCCAGTGCCGTGATGCTTAATTTGTCGATGTCTATAATATTCTCCTCGGAGCTGAACTTGCTGGAGAGCTGTTCCCAGTCCTTTTCGTGTCGGGGACTGAGGGACTCCGATCTTTTTAGCACCTCTTTTAGATCCAGCTCCTGTTTGGGACTCGCGGTGGTGGATGCGCTGTCCAGAAGTTTGGGACACTCGTAGAACTTTGGGTCTTGGAACCTGTGGACAGAACGGAGCTTACCATCACGAGTGGGTGGAAGAGAAGAATAACAAACCTGAGGTTCGTGTAATCTCTGGAAGCTCTGTCAGTCGCTAAGGGATTCTCCATCTTCGAGTCGCTCTCTCGTCTCGAATGTTTCTCTTGGCCGTTGTCCTTCTTGCGCGCGCCCTCGTTTTTGTCCAGCTTCTTCAAGGGCGCCAATTTCGTCGGGATCCTGGTAGCGACATTCGTTTTGTGTTTTATAGTCTCCTTCGAGGAAGTCTCCTTTGGAAGAGTCGCCTCCTCGTGAGACTCGAGTTCCTTGGCCGTGGTCTTCGAGTCTTCCTCTGTCGATCAAAAACTTTGTATGAGTTTCTGTATCTCCGGTTATAGAGACTCCTGAAAGGATCGGGGAAAGCGAACTTCTTCTTGCGCGACGACCCTCTCGAGGGAAAAGAGGTAACAGTGGCAACGTTCCCTCCAGTGGAAGTTAACGACTGCTTTCCTTTTTACACGGCCCAGAAGAAGCGGATAAGAAAATTACGTAACAGCGGGAAGTGTCGAAACGAGCCGTTTTTTTCAGACGCTTTTCACGGCAATCACCTCTCGTTTCTCTTTGACGAAAAGTCCGACGTCCAAAAGGATAATGCTGTGGCAACTATTCTCTGGGAAAAACAAGCGACGGAGTGAACAAGTGTATGCATGCGGCGTACATATATAGACTGCTTCACAACACGTGGATTACGTCAGTGATAGAAAAACAATGCTAAAATTTCGGGCGAACACGCAGTTCTGATGTTTCAGTAATTTTCCGCTGCTTGACTGCGAGTTTTTAAAAGGAACCTGTAACCGTTTCTTTGACCATTTCCCTCCGCAAAATCGCATCGCAATCGCGAGTCTCGTTCGTGGGGTCTCAAAGGAGGAAGGTTTCCGCGTGAACGACTCTCCAGAGAATCGTCGGCGCAGGGAAATTTAAAAATAAAAAAAGGAAAACCTTGCTCTTTAAACCGACTGTGCCTTTAATCTTCCACGGAGTAGAAACAAGAATGCCAGGTGAAGGGGGACGAGAACCGCCAACAAATATTGACTTTTCGCGCAGTCGCAATTTCGTCTGGCACGCGATTTTAAGCGAAGCTTTTAACCGTTCGCTAAGTGACACTCCGTAATTCGACGATAATCAAAGTCAAAGAAGTCGCTTCTTTGAAACAGCTGTCTTTTAGAAAATTAAGTCGATGCGTTTGAGCGCGATTCATTGTTCCCTTTTCTCTTAATTTGAATCGCGAGCTTTCGTAGGCTGTTCACGAGGAGGAGCGTTCAAACAATTCGCGCTCGATGGACGTCGACGCGATAATTGGACGGATCTACGTTCAAGCAACTATTACGTACTTTCACGAGCGAGTGCACCGACACGTGAGTGCCTTAACGAATGTGTCGCACGCCGACGAGCAGCTCGAAAGAGTTTCGAGGGCTCTTTGCCGAGCAACTGCGTCCGTCTATCCTATCGAACGAGAAATCGCGCAACAAACTCGCTCGGCTGTGTAACTTTATTGCACTCGAAGAGGGACGATGAGACGAACGGCCTTTAACGCGTTCACTGGTGAATAACAGTTAAGTAGATCGATTGGATAAACCTCCGAGTTTTCGGTTTACCTGCTCCCAGTTTAATTATATAACAACTTGCTCGAAACGCTTCATACTCGAAAATTACCTTGATTTCAAATTGTAACAAGTAAATAACAATGTGTATTTTCTAATCAGGCCTTCAGATGTTTCAATGTCAGGTTAACGTACTTGATCTATGATACACCACAAGCGTCTGGCTTCGATCGCAACAGTTTAATAAAGACACAGCAAAGTGCAACGACAAACAAACAAATATCGAGCAACCGCGATGGCCTCTGACGAACTTTGACAACCAGATGGAATCGATTCACTTGCAAATTATCATTGTTTTTACGCGAACTATAATCCCGCGATAAGATTACCGTTAGCACGTGCTTGAAAATAAATAATAAACGTATCGCACGCGAATGTTACATAAAAGTACGAATCGCTTTAGCGGTGTTACGTAAAATGCAAGAAAAAGGACACGGAGTCAATAAGCAAAGTCGATGTTCCGATCTGCGGTCATTGAGAAAACTAAGTAATTGTGCAAACCGATGCTCCAAGGTCAAGCAATATTCTTTACGTAATAGGCGTGAATCATTACGACGATCGAATCGCGATCGAAAGCAAACACGACGGGCAAAGAAATCCTAAAAATATAATTCACGTTTGACGAGTAGCCAATTCGAAGCTACAATAATCGAAATTCTGGCAGAGTTACAGTGAACAGGTGTCCGCAATACTGCATCGTTCCTCAATTTTAGTTTTCTACTTGAAATGCAAGGCTGTACCGCTATACAATACGTGACTATCGGTTTTTGCCGGTCTCCATGGATTCCTCGATGAATAGCTAGTATGCGAATTCCATGAAAATATCCACTGTGACAATCAACGTGTTAATCATATACGAGTTACATCATGATTGCCAGTTAATTTCGCAAATGGAGAATCTTTGTCAATGGCAAAAATTACCTGTAAGAAATAGCATCGCGATCAAACGGTAATTAAATGACGCTCTATCTTATCTTATCTTGTTTACCGTCCCATCGATAAGTCCGAAGATGCATATCGATACTCGAGAAAAGAACGCAGAAAGCTGAAATGCGGGGGTTTAGATTGCTGTTTGGAGGTTCGCGTGTTAACCCTTTGCACGAGACGAAAAGAAAAAAAGAGTCATGCCATTTCTAGTCCATAATATGCATGTCATGGTTTATTTATACACATGTGGTCTACATTATACATGTACAGAACGCGAAACCGTGAATGTTACACAAGCTGTCGCATCGTAATCACAGTCGAAGGGTATAAAAATATTTAGTTTTGTGTACTCGATAGCAATACAAGGTACGAACATAACTGGTCCTATCGTCAAATTCAACTACAATTTATGGAAAGAAAAAGGTCATACATTATGTGAATCAGTCAGGATGTGCACAGTAACATACAGCGTACACGCGATATCTGCTTTACAATTTAAGCGATGATAATGATGGAAGACTTTGGCTATCTTAATCGAAAGCTTACAAGGATTACAAAGCTTAAGCAATTAAAACAGAAAGAAACAAAGAATTTCTAGAATAGAAAATGTAATTTCTAGAAGGGTGGGAATGTAGAAGGGTGGAAATTCGGAGGGTTGGCAGTGGACAGGTCACCGATTCGATTTCCGGTGTCGTCCCTAGTTATCACAGATCCCTGCATCATCGGTTGCAAGGTTAATCAGGTTACACCTACCCTAACAACGTACAAGTTCTTTCATAAATATTGCGTGTACGCTACAAACTGCAAGTCCAAGTGCAAAGGGTTAATCCTATATTTTCCATTCGCCCGTAATGACGAGGCAATCCGTACCGACGCTCATTTGCCTGGTATTGCCAGCCCTGGCCTGCTTGACCAGCTGTTTGTAGACAGCGTCCAGTGGATGCTCCCAGGTGGTGGTTCCGGTGGAAGCTTGATAATAGTACCAAGCTCCGCTGGCCTCGTGGTAGCATGGTTTCCAGCCCTTCGGTAGGGCCGCCATGAGGCCCTCCCGGGCAAGAACCAGAAGGTGCGGTTCCGCATCGGGGTCGATTCCCAGGCGTCTCGCATAGTCGAGCACCTCTGAAAAAGAAAACCAGGTGCCATCCATTAGCTGATTAAGGCTCGGATACTAATCTACCTGGAAAAATTAACGTTACGGTATAATTTGCGTTGGCAAGTGAAATTTAGTTAGCGTTAATAAGTAAAATCTTGGTAAGTGAAATTTAGTTAACTTTAGTAAGTGAAATTTTGCAAGATAAGGTCAGAGAGTACCAAGCGCCATAATGACATAACCTTGTAATCTTCTTCCGTCAAACACGATCAAATCACATAAATCACCCGAGTTAGAGCAAGAACTCAACAACTTTCTCCGATAATTCTTATAAATTTTACAACAGTTGATCAAAGAGAACGAGTATTATTGGACGTGGGCGTCCATAAAGAGTGTCGAGGGTCGTAGAATTTTTAACCTATCGGTTATTATAAATATTATACTTGTCGAAGAAAGTATAAAAAGCTTGTGAAACGAGTGATTTCAAGGTTCTCGAGTTGGCGTATACTCATCGATAATATAGGCCAGGTGGAAGTACACGTGATACGGAACTACCTCGAGGGAAAAATTTGTCGTTAACATTGAATAGCATGTTAGCCAAACTTCTAGCTAATTGCTGGCAGTGGTTAAACATTTATCAACGGTACTTGGCACGATATTAATCAATTTTTGAGTACAGGATTCTAAAATTAAACATTGTTGCTCGAAAGAAGTCTAATCACCCAATCTGTTACGTCATTCAGAGAAATTGTGCACGTTCCATGCTACATGTATAATAAATGCAGAATACGTTAGCATAGTTCAGAAGGGACAGTTCAATATCTATATAATATTCAGAATCTTATGACATCCGAGAAATTGCCTTCGCTAGCGACAAAAATAATGCATCACCGGAAGTACTGGCTGCGTCCTAAGCATACAATTAACCGAGTCTCGAGACTGTTTTCATAATGAAACATGGAAAATCGCGACGACAGCGCTGCAAAAGGGTCGATTAAAAATTCCATCATGGAAGTCTTTGACAGGTGGCTCGTATGGGGCTAACCGTCACAACATCTGTCTTCTCCGATGGGGAATGTTTCGTAGATATTCCATTCGTTACCAGCTGAAATTTCCGAAATAACTGTCAGATTTTCGAGGAAAATACGCTGACGGGGCAAACATCGAAAGTGATTTTCAATTGACGGACGGATCTGGTGCAACGGAAGCTGGTCAGCGGTACTGTTAGGGGGGTGGTCCTCGAGGCTTATGACAAAACTTTCGCCGCACTGCGGATTCTATTGATTTTCCTCGTCGCGCTAGGGTACACGAGCTCACTGCTCCCGTACGACCCTGGTGTAAATAAACAAGGAAACACCACCGAAACTGTTTGACCTTTCATAGTTTTATCCACGACTTTTCCCATTTGATCTCTTCCGCCGTTAACTTTTACCCGAGGCTCACGATTCTTTTACGTCATTACAGAAATTAACGATTACGTGTCAGAACATAAATTGACCCTGTTAGGTAATTAGAAAAGTGGTTTATTAGCAAGGAACGACTTTTCATCCCGATCAAACGGGATGAAAGAGTGTTTGACCCTGACCTCGAGATGGCCAAGTCGTAGAATTAACGAGGCAGAGAAAGATCTGGCGAAAACCACCCCTACATCGATCGAGGAACCCTGGAGTGTCCACGTACCTTCGTTCGACGGATGAGACGTCTCGTCGAAGACCTCCCTGCACAAGATCGTGGCTGCGCTGTCCTGAGAAATGCTCATGCTAGCGCGAACGAACAGCCGGGTCCCGGGGTGCAGGACGTTCACATAACTCGGCTAGGTAGGTCGCGTTTGGCCCGAGGACAACAACGCGCGTCGCAACGATCCGCCAGGCAAATGTCCCGCATTTTACGGTTACGACGACGACGCGTGCACTCGAGAGAGTTTCAGCTAACGACGAGGACGAGGACGACGACGACGAGGCCCGTCCGACGACAGTCAACGTTGAATTCGACTTGAACGTAGGCGGTGGAAGGAGGAACGGACACGAAGCGTGCAGCGCCCTCGGTAGCCTGACCCCGAACTAGGCCAATGATAAGGAAACGAGTGTAACAGCCGGCGGCAACTGTCTTATCGATTAATCGAAAGTTTCTGGCGTTCTCGTTTGACAGCCCGGGAAATACGGGAAACGATTTTCGAAACACTTGTTTGTAATTTTGAGACGTGGTTCACATTATCGCGGTTAGATCATGCAAACTTTACTGGAGTATTCGATGAAGGAATGTTAATTTAATTACACAGGTACTTTTGGACTAAAAGACCTTTGGATCATTCTTGAACTGTACTTTGAGTAACAAGTTGCAGGTACTTGTTTGTGATCTGATCTCTTGTGAGATTTCTGATTGATTCACATACTTGAGAATCAGATAAATGAATTCTTTTTTAATTGATGAGTCAGTGATCAAAGTCTGACGAGGTTTTTACAGTAAATGAAAATGATAATTGGTGTGTTGAAATATTTCTAACAGAAGTAAAAAGAGCAAATAATTCTTGACATCAGAAAATACCAGTGGCAATTGTTGCTACAATTTGTTCAATTAATTGCTGTAATGTATCTATTATAGTTAAGTGGAGTTTTTATCACAAAGGCCTCGAAATAATGATCGAAGTAAGGTCACTCTTCAATAAGTACATTTTCAACTAAGAATTTTACAAGATTAATCTCTGTACATTGATTTTTGAATGTTAGAAGTTTTGCACTTTATCGATCACCGTTTAAAAAATAGAGACGATAGTAGCGCTACGAATTTCGTTCTTTCCCGCGAAAAGTTTCAGATTCCTTCCTTACCGACGATCTAGAGATTTTACCAATGGAAGTTTCCCCTATGAATATCTACTTTATACACAAATATGCAAAAATGCATTGACTATTAAAAACATAGATTTCAAGATGGTTAATATTATTATTATAATAAGAAGAATTACAAAATTAATAAAACGTGTGTCATCATATTTGAGTGTCCTCCGCAGAGATGGCGCCAATGTATACGAAACTACCCTTACAATAATTCATGCCCGCTAATCTCTTATTAAATTTTTACTTGTAAAATTTTTAGATACCTTCACTTTGCAAATTGCAGAAAATTGTCTCCATTGAATATGTAAAGTTTTTACGCACTTAAAATTAGAATTCAGTTATTCAGATTTATGCGACGTATGACATAAATGGTGACAGTGTGATTATGGAAATTTGTATTAGTATTGTATTTTTTATGCTGCTGCATTGTTCGCTCTTTCAGACACTTATAGATTAATAATTTATGCATTCAAGTTTGAAGGTATATGTTAATAATTTTACGCTAGCTATTCACAAGGTAGAATACGAAGGAAATAATGAAATGTTCAGTAGAGTGCAAGATGTATTATAAAAATATTTTAGAGTGATACTTGGAAGAAACATTTGTATCATAAAAATGAAATGTAATAATTAGCACTTTGAAGTAATGTTAAAATATTCGTCGCATGTAATAATCAACTACAATTCAAATTGTAAATCACTTCTTTAAAATAGAACATTCATGGAAACTGCTGCATGACTCTATTGAAATAAAAGAAGGGAAATTATACATTCGATTATCGAAAAATCAGAGCTGTAACTGATAATTTGTAGTCTAGAAATAATAAGAAAATATGTGATGAACTATCCAAACAATTAGGAAGAAACTGAATTACATAATGAGTAATATATGTAAATTCGTATCTAAGTATTCATACAGTGAGTTCATACAACCAAGAAAATTGGTAACACACAGGCTTCTTATTTTAAATTACAAAGGCTATTCAGACACTTGTGTCAAAATATTTATTTCATCAAAATAAATTCATTTCCTCAATGAATCTTAAATTATACGTTCTATTAAATTATATGATCTTAAGCTATATGTTCACTCGTTTTTAATTATTCACGTTACAGAAACAAATTCTTGGAATAAACAGGTAGTTAAACCCATTTTATTGCTGATCTAGCACTCTCAAATTTTGTGGGACAGAGAATGGAAGAAAATCTGATTCGAAGATGCAACTCCGATGGCAGACTCTTATTTCTCCATCCCCCAAGTCACAACACGATCTGTCGTTTCCAGCAATAGCGAAAATAATGATCGAACCATCGATTGGGACATTTAAATTTCACGCTCTATAGAAAACAACGAGGACCACCGAATCATGGTGTTAACGTTAACGACTGCAGTATTCGGGAGTCGTTTCGTCGAACGCGAAAATTAAATGATAATGATATCGTACGCCGACGTCGCATGAAATACTTGCGGCCTCTAGTCGAGAACATTTATTTCTCTCCTTCTCTTTACCTGTTCCCGTCACTCTTTCTTCTCATATCCAAGTCTCCAGTCAGTCACTCCCTCTTACTTCCCTCCGTCATCATATTTTCCTTTCTGTTCGCCCTTCCTCCTCGTTCTTGCGTTTTTTATTCTGTAAAAATCCTCGTTAACTCGAATCACGACTCAGGTCGCCGACTTTCCACTTTTCTCCAGCTAAATAAATCGTTAGAGGCTTGGTGGCCGAGCGCGGGCTAATGGCGCTCCACTTGTTATTGTTCCATGGTGTTTCTTCGATGAAACCGGCTTTAATCAATCTTCAATACACGCCGATGACACCATCCTTCCTACATTCTTCGCTATTTACAAAATAATTAAATACCGAAGAATTAATAGGCAACCCCTACTTGCCATTCAGTGTTCCTCCAGAAATATCGCAAAATTAGGATTCACATTGTCAAAGTTTTAATAAAATCTTCAATCACAATTCAAATTTCACACGTTTCAAATTGTTATTTATAAAGGAAATTCTTTTGTACATATTCCAAAGAGCATTTACCTCCAGCAACAGCGCATCGAGTCTCAGAAATTAAGTACTGTTTTTTCCTGCAATTTTCAAGTGTGCACACATTTCTCTTGAAGAATAACAGAGAGAAATTTAACAGGATTGTTGACTGGATTCTGTGAAACAGACGGGCAAAAGGGTACTTGGCTTTCTGGAGTCGAACCGAGAACAAAATGGCTGAAATGTACAGCGAGAAAAGCCACGCTTTTTGTGCAATATTTTAGCAAAAGAAGTTTCGTTTTGTTGAATCGTTTGTCGGGGAATTTTGTGGCTTTCGGAGACTACTGTTTTAGGGGTTGATTGACCTCTTCGGACGTCACGTGTCATCAAGATTTTATAAAAAAATATAAACCTTTATGCATTTGCAGTGCTAATAAAATGTAACTTGTTTATTTATGGAAAGTAAAATTCGGATTTAAATTTTAGATATTTAATGTAGAAATATTTATTAGAAGGCAATATTTCTTTAGCTTTACAATAAAATTAATGGAACGTTACATAAATTGATATTATTTTAAATTGATAAATATAGTATATTGAAATATGAGTTCAAATTAAAATTTTGTTAAATGTCGAGGACGTTTGCACACCTTCCTAAATAAATGTTACGTATAAAATCACTGATGCATTTAATGTAGCGACAAAAATATCATTAAGTTTCTTTGAATCGCCTCGAAATAAAAAAGAAAGGTACACAAAAGGAAGGCAGAGAAAATCCGTTACGTAGCCATGATGGGAGAACGTAACAACCGAAAAATCACGTACATTACCCGGAACAATAAATTCTATTGGTCGTTAGACCCTCGAGCACACGCCAGGGGATCCCCTAATCCGACCTAACGCCGTAATATCGTTACCTTGTTAAATAAATGTCACAGCAGGAGGGTTGCTCGGGGCTGGCCAGTCGGTCTACAAAAGACCAACCCCTAAAAATTGGGCCAACGTTCGTACCGTTCAAAATGGTGGACCAACACGTCCCTAGCTAACAAAGAAATGCACAAAAAGGAGTGACGTTTTAGCGACTGCAATCTTTCTCGGCAATGGCCGATTGCAACCTAACCCCGATGATTCGTCGACTGAAAGACGAGATAATCGGACACTGACGAAGTGTTGCTACCACCATGTTCTCACCCTACTCTTCTGAAAACCTTGTGTAACTGCTAACAAAACTTCCATTGTTGTTTTCTATAGAAGTTGTAACAAGATGTAATCGTTAAGGGATGGACAACATAGAGCAGTTATTAATAAATATTATTGAACATATATTAGAATATATTCATTAATGAATAGCATTCATATTTTCTTTATTCTGATTTTTTCTTCGGTGAAGAATGTTGAGGAGGATGGAGAGATTAAATTTGAAAATGTATTTTATTTCTGACTTGTTTCTGTTTTCTTAATTATGATGGTTTCTGTACATTACTGTGTAAAATTCATGGAAGTCGAATTTGTTAAAGTCTGTTGATAAATTAGTTGTCACATCGGTCGGTTACAAATAATTGTATAATAGAAGAAAAAATATTTTGAACGTCATCAAATTAGGGTTGGAAATTTTTAAGCAAATGTAAAATAAAAGAATTGAATAATTCAACCCTTGTCCAGTCAAGATAAGTCCAGTGACCTCATCAAATATTCGTTTAATTATGAATATAATCTTGCAGGTAATCTTTGAAGTAATGATTAGAATTTATGCAAATTTATTTTAGAAATTAAGTACAACCTTTCAAACAAATTTTGTGTTGGCACATATACACTATAACGAATTCGGATTCTGCAGTAATGCGATTACAATGATTATGTCTGTTGTAAATCTCTGTATTTATTGTATATCCATCTACAATGTTTTACTAAAAGTTAGACACAGATTTGTGTGCGGAAACAGGTAAAATTTACCACGTACAAGATTAGCGAAAGGCCTAAATGTGGTTACGATGTGCGCCATTGCGACGGCAAGCTTCTTCCGTTACAACAGGAAACTCACCTATGCACGACAGTTTCTACACATCATTCCTCAAGATCATTGCACATAAAATGCACAATAACATTATTACAAAAGAATTAACAGCCCTATAATTTATCCTACTTCGCTTTCCACAAA